GAAATGGCAGGGCCTAGTCCGAGAGAAGCCATGCCAGCGATCGCTCCTTTGCCTACTCAGTCATTCTCTGCATGCCCCACGGGTCCGAACTTGTCAATGAACAGCCCAAGGCTAGCCAGGGTTGGGGAGGAGACTTATAAAGAGTCCCACACTGAAAGAGACCCAGCTAGTGCTGAGAAAGGGGGACAGACAGGAAAACGCATCCCTGGCTGAGCTCAGAGAGTAAAGGGACTGCAGAACTGAAGAATGCCACCTGGGAGGATCTGAAGCCCCAGAGAGGAGGCTGGGAGGAGGGCTCTCATTGTAGCTGAGCATCAGTGAAAATCTTATTGTAATATCCTGCATCGTGAAGGGGAGGGGGGGAAGCCGGTTTCCCTGGAAACTGTGTATTTGGTGCCAAAATAACTAGGGAACTGGGCACAGCTTTGTTGTCTTCATAGTGAAATTCTGTCGGAGCCATCACACCGCTTGCTTCCACTGGATCACCAAGAAGGATGCTCTCCAGGTAGGCTGCACAGAGCAGGCACAGCAAGGCCCAAGAAAAATCCACTGGGTAATTTCCTAACTGGGATTTGTCTGGTAGAGACCCCCAAATCTTTATCCAAAGCCCTGGAGAATGAAGGGGGCCTTTGATTAATTTCTTTCCTTCCTCAATTCTCCCCAAAAATCAATGAATCTGACCCAAACACAGCCCTAAATATGGAGGTGAGGGGAGCTGATATCAAACCCCCCCAAAGTCCAAATCACGTCCCCCAAGACCTCAGGTGACTAAAGTATCCCACAAGGCTACAGGGCCTCTCTGACTGGTCTGAAGTGAGAGAAGAGTCCCGGGGCCACTGAAGGCTGCGGCCCCTGGCGAACAGTTCACTAGGGCCTTGGGGGAGGAGGCCAAAGCTACTGGCTCAGAAAAGAGAACAAAACCATGGCAGGGAAAGCCCTGACCTCAGTGGCTCAGATCCCCAGGGGCTCACAGTGAATGGGGATTCCTAAGGATTTAAAGGAAGGGAAGTTTAAGAAGCTTCTATTTTTGAATCCAGGCGAAGGGCTCCTTCTGTTTCTCAGCTCCTCCCTCAAGTTTTGGGACCAGATCTGAATTAACTAGTGAAACCCTAAGGCCCGGTCCTTTGAAAGGATCCAGGACAGCAAATTTAAGGATGCCATTTAGAGCCCCTGGCTGGTAACCTTCCCTGCCAACACACCCAAAGCCCTGCACTACCCCACCCCCAGCTTCAACTTCCTCAAATGAGCCTGAGAAAAAGTGCTGAAATCCTAGGCTGAGGATTCCTGACAAATGACTAGGAAAAGTTTACATACTGTTTTCTCATAGACTCTGCCAAATGACTCTATAAAATGGGGGGAAGAAAGGAGAGAAATTAAAATCCCATTTATGTGCAGAAAATTTACATGCAGTTAGGACTGGCACTCTGCTCTAGGACCAAACAGGCTAGAAAAAATATCTTCTTCCCTCCCCACATTTCTCCCCAACACCACCAGAGCCCAGGGGGGCAACAAGCACAAAAGAGAAAATTCAAAAATGCAAAGCCAGAAAGATCTCTCCTGCAGGCCAACTCAAGGCTCAAGGCCTAGCCACTCATCCAGAACCCACAGGGAAGCACCTTCCGGCTGTCAGCTCCTGAAGAGGGAAGGGTTTCCAAGAAGGTGGGGAAATACAAAATAGAAACTGAGTAACTGAAAGGACACCCAAACAGCTGAGAGGAGAAGAAAAAAAAAATGAATACCATACCCCAGGAAGGCCTGGGGTGAGAAAGGGCATCTCCAAAACCCTCACCCCACAGGCCCTGTGGAAATCCAGGCTGCAGGGTTGGGTGGGTCATGGCTCCAAAAGCCTCAGACCCAAGCAGAAGCAACACCCCAAATCTGTCTGGAGGACACCCTGAGACACTCTTACTAGGAAGGTCAGGGAGAAAGGCAGGCCTTGCTAGATCTCAGGCTAGGCTGTACTCTGGCACCCTGAGCTTCCCCAACTTCTGCTCCAACTGGGGAGGGTTCACAGGAGACAGACAAGCCTCAGGCATGGGAAGAGACCCTATTTCCCCTAGAAGTGCCCCAAGACTTTACCAGGGAACAGGAATCTCTCAGCCTTAAGCCTGAGGGGAAGTCACCCATATCCCCTACTCCAGCTTCAAACTGTCAACGCTGCAGGCCTCAAGCTTAGGTGGCAATTCAGACCAACAACCCTGAGCGCACCTCCCCAGGCCTATAACGGGATGCGAGATGCACTCCAGAGACCCCAAGCCTGAGGAGGTGTAACCCCAATAACTCAAGACGTTCCATCACCAGCTCCTAACTAACAGAGCCCGAGAAAACAGTGGTTTAGGAGGCTTCGAGTCTGGGGGGCCTCACCCCGATGTCTCAGGAGGACCCCAGAATGAGGCTCCTCCAGTCAGGCGACTGCACCTTGGGCAGAGCACAACCGGCTGAGGAGGTGGAGGACGCGGCGCTCACGCCCTCCTTCGGTCCGACTGTCTGTTCCCAGGTCCCTCAGTCCATCAGCCCTCTGGTTCTGTCCACCGTGGTGCTGGTGGTGGGCAGAAGCCAGGCCTAGGCCTGCGCCCGGCCCCCTTCCCGCCTGCCCTCCTCCCTCGCCACCCCACCCCCCCCCCCCCCCAGTGCTCGGCCTCGTTTCGTCACCGGATCCCCTGGAATGGGGGACGCGGGCGCGAAATACGAACCCAGCCACCGGCAGCTCCCTCCCCACGTGCGCGCGGCCCCGCGGTGCGGAGGACGGCCCGGGGAGGGGGCGCCTCACCTTTGCCCTCCATGGCGTGCACGAAGTCCCCCTGGTACAGCTGGCTGCGCAGCTTCTCTTCCAGGCTGAATCCGCGGACGCTGACAATCTCCTCCACGTCCGACAAGTCTTCGTTCTCGTCGTATCTCTGGCGATCAATCGGGCGCTGCGAGGATCCAACCAGAGAGCCCGCGATATTATTGTAGGAACTGGGGGATCGCCTCTTACCCCGGGCCAACACGAACAGGTGCAGGAGTGCACGCCCCCTGTACCCCACCATTGCAATCTGAGCAACTTTGCGCAAATGCCAAAGATGCTGAAAAGCAGGAAAAGGAGAGGGGCCCACACCCCCAGGGTCCTACTGCGCCCTACACGACGAAGCACTCTCCTCCTGCATCTTTGGAAGCCATGGAAAGGGTATCTAGGGACTCTCCCACGTCCCCCATCCCCGTGATGTGTTGAGCTTTGCCCACTCAGCCGGGAGCCTGGTTATGTAACCCGCAAAGGGGGCTCCGGACACGAGCTGGCGGGGCAGATGTAGGCCCCGGGAGGAGCCGCTGCAGCTCCGGGCTCGGCGGTAACAGCCGCCCCGGCCGCCGTGGAGGCAGAGCCGGGAAGCCGGAACCGGGGCCGGCGGCGTTTCTAAGGCTGGAGCCGCTCCCGAGCTACCGGGGAAGCTGAAAAGCTGAAATGGAAGGGCTGAGACCCCAGCCGCCCCCGCCGATCGCCCGCCAGTACGAGAAGAGGAGGTGAGGGGAGGAGGTGAGGGGCTTGGGAGGGGGAGAGGCAGACGGCCCGCCACAAAGCTCCCATCGGAGACCCCAAAACGCACCAGCAGCTGCCTCATCTCCCCACGAGCGCGCGCGCACACTCACTTCCTAAGGAGACTCCCCCACCACTCCCCGCATCCCCCTACCTCCTCCCTCCACCGCCCAGCGCCCGGCGCGGCAGCCCCCCAGATTCCGGGCGAACCCCCAGCCCGCTTACCACCCCCTACACCTTTCCAAGCTACCATCTCCCCACTTAAGTGTCTGAGACTCTGAGCCTCACAAGGGACTGGAGGAGTAAGCTGCTTGCTTCCTTTTGCATGCAATTTATTATTTTTTTCCGGTCCTCTTGTAAAATACAGAAAAGGAAAGAAAAGGCAGCAAGAAACAACCGAAAAAAAAATAGAGCTATCATATACCAGATACAGATTTGGAAAAAAAAAAAAAAGCTACACACCAATCTTCTTCCAGAGTCTTTCTCTGCCTCCATTTTTTTAGGAGAGTTCACCAATTAATTGTCAACACTCCTGCCCCCTGCATTTTGGCGGAGGGGGGAAGGAGGGAAGACCAAAGAAAACAAACCAAAAAATAAATAAATAAAGCAAGCCAGAGCCGAGATCTACAAAGTTTTGCACCAACACTTAGGCAGATCCGTTTGCAAAGTCCTAGGAAACCATTTTCAGCAGTTGTGGGGGGGGGAGGCGTCGACGTCATAATCCCCGGAACGTAAACATTGTTGCCGATCGCGCTCTGAGCCCGCGGCCGGGCTAGTTGGGGGGGCACTCGGCCCGGGATGGGGGGGCGGGGGCAGCGGCCCGAGGAGGTGTGGGACTGGGAGGGAGCCCGCGAGGCACCGGGCGCCGTTAGCGCCCTGGCATCGCTGTTTTGTTGTTGGGTCACGAGTGCGCCTCTGCACGCAGGCGCCGCCGCCGCCCGGGAGTTGTGTGCAGAGCTGACTTTTGGAGGGCTGAGTTGCAGGCGACTGGCGCATCCCGGAGATGGCGGGGCAGGGAGGGAGGGAAGGAGGAGGGGG